TAGGGATGCTAGAAACCCTAGATCTCTGTACCGAAGTAGCTGAGGAGTCACTTCTCTTTCCATGGCTGGACAAGGCCAATCTGGATGCAGACAGCAGGATCAACGTCAAGCTGATGGTTTAGTGAAAAAGCCATTTGGACCAGGCATGGTGCTGGCAAACTACCTGGCTGCATTTGAGTGAGCCAACCCTAAAAGCAGGAGGGTAAAGAGAGCAGAGGGCACAGAGAGCAGCCTGGTGTGGCCTGGAGCAGATGGACAGAGGCAGTGGGGAGAGAGAGAGATAGTATGAGCCAGAGTAAGCTGCTCCTGCCTCCAACACGGCAGCTCTGCCTGGCAGCACCCTGAGCCAGAGTGACAAGAGGCTTTAGCTCATGTTTGTTCTGGCACCTCCATGCAGCACCCTGGCCCATTGCGCAGTACAGGCTTGCCCTCAGGGTAAAATTTTGGTGAGGATTAAGTCAAAATCCCAACCAACTTGAAGGCCACTGAAATCATGACAACTCTCCACACCTTGCAGATGATGGCAGAAATCACAACAAATACAGGTGAATTTAATAATTACCTGCTTACGCAAGTGGTTCTGGGGCTTATTTAATGGGTGGAGAAGGCCTATAGTACCTTTTGAATAGCAGGGACAGCTTAGGCTGTGATCTGTTTGCAGTCTAGTTTATGATCTGTTTATAGTCCTGCTTTGTACTAGAGCTTCTGGGAAAGAATGAAAATGCATAGTGACTTTTCTCTGTAGTACCATGCTGTGCTCCTGTTTAGCTACAGTGCATCACTAGGAGAAAATCAGCTACTTCTACGAGGATATAAGTGACGCAGGGTGAAACCTCGCAGTCCATGGATGGGCTGTAGTTGGCTGGAGGCAGCAAGTGAGAGAAATTGTGTCCTGGTCTGAGTTGAGCTTGCAACTTTGGGTGATTTCAGAATTTTTCTCTTAGATCTGAGAGACCTTTTTAATTAATGAGTTGTTGCTCTTTAGAGTTGGAAGCTGGCTTCTGGGGTAGCATGAGGAACATCAGAGCTGGTGGGTCTTTTTCTTGGTTTAGAGGCTGCGTGTACTAAAGAGAAAAAGGATGTAGCTCCTTCTGTGAAGGGTGGGGTGGCAGAGCGCTTCAGGCAGCTGGTTTAACACTTCTGGTTTCAGAAGCATGAGCCTAAGCTGTTATTTTTTGCACCAAGGGCTCAGCTGTGCACGAGTGAATCAGACTTGGGCAACAAACGTCAGACTTGCGTGTTGGTCACGTTATCCCCCCATGTGATTTTGGAAACTTTGGGTGCTTTTTAACTCTGCTACTCTGAGTTGGGGTGGACTTTTGGCATTCCCTTTTCCTGTGGAGATGAAGGAGGTGTGAAGTCCCGCTTCGCTTCCCGTTCTTGGTCCTGTGTTGAACCATGGGACCTGCAAGGTGGAGAGGAAGCAGCGGCTAAATGCGTGTGGCTGAGTCGTTTTCTGCTCGTGATCTTTTACCAGATATTGTGCTGCCTGTGAAGTTATGCCTCCCCCGAGGGGCAGGCAGGCTGTGGACAGGGATGTGATGATTGGACTGTCGTCTTCATCTGGAGGAGCTTAGGGGGTCTGCGCTTGCCGTGGGATTGATTTTTTTAGCTCCGGGTGCACAGGCGAAGCTGGGAGCGTGCCCAGCTGTGTGTCAGGGCTGCATATTGCTCGGGTGCCTTTGAGTCACGGCGTCGGAGGAGGCATATGGCTGGATGCTGAAACAAAGTGCTCCTGCAGCTGGAGGGCTTCAGCGTGGCCGTTTCCCCAGGTGGACTTTTCTCCATTACCTTGCGCATGGCGTCGGTGAACCCCGAGGATGGCTGGTTGCTTGCTGGGGGGTTCTGCATGATTTTGATTTAGAGGGTTGTTTTTGTTTGGTTTTTTTTTTTTTTT